TAGCGTTGTTTGGGTTAAGGAGGTTGTTAGGTTAGCATTGGTTGGTTTAAGGTTTAAGTTAGAGGTTAGGGTTAGGTTGGAGTCGAGGGAGGGTTATAGGGTTAGCGTTGGTTGGTCGGAGAGCGAGGTTAAGTTAGAGTTAGGCGTTTGGTTGCGCGTTGAGGAGGGTTTGTTAGGATTATCGTTGGTTAGGGCGTTGGTTAGTTAGGGTAGTGTATGAGGTTGGTGAGGAGGTTAAGTTAGGTATAGCGTTGGTTGGGTCGAGAGAGGTTATAGTAGGATAGCTTTGGTTGGTTGAGGCAGGTTTAAGTTGGTTTGCTTTGGTTCGTTGAGGAGGTAAGTTGGAGTTAGCTTTGGTTGGGTTGAGGAGGTTAGTTAGGTTATGCTTGGTTGGGTTAAGGAAGTTTAAGTTAGGTTAGCTTTTGGTTGCGGTTGAGGGAGGTTAAGTTATTAGGTTAGCGTTGGTGGTTAGTTGAGGCGAGGTAAGTTAGGTTAGCTTTGGTTGGGTTGAGGGGTTTAGAGTTAGGTTAGCGTTGGTTGGTGTTGAGGGGTTAAGTTAGTTAGCTTGGTTGGGTTGAGGAAAAGGTTAAGTTAGGTTAGCTTTGGTGGGTTGAGGAGGTTAAGTTAGGTTAGCTTGGGGGTTAAGAGAGGTTTAGTTAGGTTAGCTTTGGTTGTTGGGTTGAGGAGGTTAAAGTTAGGGTTAGCTTTGGTTTGGGTTTGAGGGAGGTTAAGTTAGGTAGCGTTTGGGTTGCGGTTGAGGAGAGGTTAAGTTAGGGTTGGGTTGAGGAAGGTTAAGTAAGGTTAGCTTTAGTTGGGTTGAGGAGGTTAAGTTAGGTTAGCTTTGGTTGGGTTAAGGAGGTTAAGTTAGGTTAGCTTTGGTTGGGTTAAGGTTAAGTTAGGTTAGGGTTGGTTGGGTCGAGGAGGTTAAGTTAGGTTAGCGTTGGTTGGTCGAGGAGGTTAAGTTAGGGTAGCGTTAGCTTGGTTAAGGAGGTTAAGTTAGGTTAGCGTTGGTTGGTTAAGGAGGTTAAGTTAGTTAGCGTTGGTTGGGTTAGGAGGTTAAAGGTTAGGTTAGGGTTGGTATGAGGTCGAGGAGGTTAAGTTGGTTAAGCGTTGGTTGGTCGAGGAGGTTAAGTTAGAGTTAGCGTTGGTTGGTTGGAAGTTGAGGTTATCGTTGTTGGGTTGAGTTAAGTTAGGGTAGCTTTGGTTGGGTTTGAGGAGGTTAAGTTAGGTTAGCTTTGGGTTGAGGAGGTTAAGTTAGGTTAGGTTTGAGGAGGTTAAAGTTAGTTTAGCGTTGTTGGGTTGCTGAGAGGTAAGTTAGGTTAGCTTGGTTGGGTTGAGGAGGTTAAGTTAGGTTAGCGTTGGTTGGGTAGAGTTGTTAGGTTAGCTTTGGTTGTTTAGGTTAACGTTGGTTGAGGAGGTTAAGTTAGGTTAGCGTTGGTTGGGTTGAGGAGGTTAAGTTAGGTTATCGTTGGTTGGTGGAGGTTAAAGTTAGGTTAGCTTTGGTTGGGTTGAGGAGGTTAAGTTAGGTTAGCGTTGGTTGGGTTGAGGAGGTTAAGTTAGGTTAGCTTTGGTTGGGTTAAGGAGGTTAAGGAGATTGGGTTAAAGATAGATCAGGTTAGGTTAGCTTGGGTTGGGTTAAGTTGGGCTAGATAGTTTAGCTTTGGTTGGATTGAGGAGGTTAGGTTAGCTTAGGTTAGGTCAAGATAGGATAGGTTAGGTTAGTTATGCTTGTGGTAGGTTAGGCTAGGTAGGTTAGCCTGGGTTGGGTTAAGATAGGATATACAACGTACACATACAGATATACCAATAGACCCAGGTGCACACACAAATAAGTAAATATGCACGCACATACACATTATTATTAGGTTGAGTTGGGTTGATAGGTTAGCTAAGGGTAGGGTAAGTTAGGTTAGCTTGGATTTGGTGAAGTAGGGTAGGTTGGGTTAAGATAGGATAGGTTAAGTTAGGTTAGCATTGGTTGAGTTAAGTAGGTTGGGTTGGGTTAAGTTAGGTTAGCATTGGTTGGGTTAAGTTAGGTTAGCATTGGTTGGGTTAAGTTAGGTTAGCTTCGGTTAAGTTGGGCTGGGTAGGTTAGCTTTGGTTAACTTGGGTTCGGTAGCAGTTTCAATGACCGACTAGTGTTTACGGTAAAAAGAAAAGAAAAAAAAAGTCTCTTAACATCAATGCCGTGTACACTAACAGCACGTGCCCCCCCCCCCCCCCTTGTGTGTGACGTCACGGCAGAAAAGGTTTCCACAAGGAAAAGAAATGCGTGAAATTAGTAATATGCAGATGACTCTAGGTTTTATTATTATTATCTATCATTGTTATTATTCCCCGATGCTACTGGTCCACGGTGCTAGGTCCTTTTATTTTTTTTTTTTTTTCTCGGGATTTATTTCGTCCGTTTTTGTTGTTGATTATAGAATTCGGCTTCATCAGAAATAAAGGAAAATGCGTAAAATTTAGTAATATTTCGTTGACATTAGACTTTATTATC